GGCAATAGTGGTTGGACAAAAAGGACCTATTTTCTTTCATTGGGTTGGGATCAAATTAGATGTAGCAAAATACGCATCCGTTCCAAATATTAAGAATCTACATCCAAATTTGATCGGATTTAAAGACTTGAGTTCGAATTCGAATCTTAACAGATTCAAATCGGATTCGGATTTAATTTGACTCTACTTTAATTTTTTAAAATACCAAAAAAATCATTTATTTGTCAACTTTTATATAATTAATTAATATAAATATAACATACTAAATCTCTTATATATATAAAATCATATATAATATAATATTTAAAATATATTTTTAAAAATAATTATATAAAATTTATATATTAAAATTAATAAATATTATAATATAATCGAATTCGAATAGATGAAATCCAAATCCTATCCAATTACATAAATACATCATCTCAATCCGAGATAATGGGACTAGATGTTGGATTGAGCGTAAGGTATCCACTAGTGCAAACTAGAGTAAGATAAGCTATGGCAATGATTGCATGGGCTTATGTAAGTAGGCTGTGTCAGTTCGGTAACTTATAGACGGGCCATGCGTGGCTACGCATGGACCTTCAGAAACTTTCTTATTGGTGCCATTTCTTTAGTTGGATATTATATTCTAATACTTCTCGTGGCGTTTCTTGTTGCTATTCCCTAAGATTCTGAATCAGCTAAAGCTAGTTGTAAGACTTGTACCAAATTAAAAACTGGAATTCTGCACAACAGGTCACGATTTTATCAATGATTTCACTTTTGCTATGACAGTTTAATTCTTAGCGCAGGGCTAAAGCCGAGAATCAAGACTTTTCTTATATTGCAGCATTGACCCCAGTGAGACGATACTTCATCTAATCCAAATAAGGTGGGATCATAGCAAGACATCAAGGGCCTTAACCGGGACCCAACATGCTTGCTGGTTCTTGATTAATTTTCATGGTCCAACCATCTGTCTAGTCCAAGACTAGCTTAGAACACTGGAATCAACAGGAAATTAAAATTAATTTGGGTACAAATTAAGCAGCAGGCTATAGTCTTCCAAAACCAGAAGATGGGCCATCTTCACATCATCTCTGAGGTGGTGTACTCGCATCTCATTTTTCTGATCAAAGATGACTCACCCAGTTTTCCATTTCTTGTATTTTACTTTTTTTTTTCTTTGGTTGGTGAGGAGGGGGTTGGAAGTTGGAACTTCCCTATTCATTTAAATTGAAATGTCAAATCTGATTTGTATTTAAAAGGTTGCGGGTTAATTAACATAAGAGTTTAATATGATCGATTTATTAATATTAGTTAAACATTAAATCAAGATTTCAATCAAACATATTAAAAATGTAACATAATGTATTTACATTTTATTGGATGACATTTAGAAGATGTACTTATTTTAACAAAGTTTAAGAAATTGGTTATGATATGTCTGTTTATCATCGTCGCATCGGCAAAATCAACATATTTTTGTTGACGTAATTGATGATGCACAATCTGGCTGGTTTTAGCTGTCAACGACCTTGCCTCTGAACCGAGTAGCGAAGAACCTGAAACGGAGGAGATGAGGAAGCTCCGAGGGGGGGAACCCGGTGTAAAGGCTCCGAAGCTTAAGTTAGAATCCTTCAAAGGCAAGGTAAAACCAGATGGCGCAAAGTTTGCATACCTCCTCTTTGGGGGTGGAGAGCCTTTTATAACCACCTCGCGCACTCATTCCTAGACTCCTGTCAGGTCGGAAATGAGTATTTCCGTGCTTCTGCCAGTTCGGGCGTCATCGCCTCTGCTGGGGCAGAACCGTCACTGCTCTTTTTGTCGGAGCCGTCTCTGTAACTGGGGGTAGCGGTGACAGGTGACGGTGGCAGGTGGCCGTTTGAAATGCAGCCGTCAAGCGTCAGATCCCAAGTCAGTCAGGTGCGTCGCCCCTGGATATGGACTCCTTTGGTGTCAGGTACGGTGTGGTTCGTTCATTTCAATGCTCTAGAAGCGAAGTGCCTGGAACGGTGCGTGAGGCGAAGTCTTGAGTTTGGATAAAAGGGGGGGTCCCGAACTGTCATAAGACGGGCCAGTTCGGGTCTCTGCTTTGTGTGACTTGGGGCCAAAGGGAGAGTTCGAGCTCTTCGTAGGGAGTTTGAACTCTAAGTAGGGAGTTCGGGCACCTTGCAGGGAGTTCGAGCTCTAAGTGGGGAGTTCGGGCACCTTGTAGGGAGTTCGAACTCCAAGTAGGGAGTTCGGGCACCTTGTAGGGAGTTCGGACCGCTGGTCTCCTCCCTTTGGTGTTTGTATCCTTGGTACGCTGTTTTAAGTGCCGAACTACTTGTTTTTGTCAGGTGGCGTGATTTGCGAGGTCGGGCCAAATCTTCCTTCATCAGTAATAATCGATTATTGTTTCATAAAACAAAACCATACACATTGGGTGACGGTGATTCATGCAAATGATCCAATCATGAGTCATTCAAGTATTCACACGAGGAGGTCAAGAACCCAATAAAGAAGATGTTTGACATCCCTCCAAAATAGGGGCGCAGCACAAGATCAAACCTATGAAACCGTAGGCTCTCCGTAGTAGCAGTGGGCCACATCACATGCACCTTACTTTGTACTCACCCTTGATTCCCCTGTGGTGTGTACTCTATAATTCCAAACGAAAAAAAAAAATGTAAATCACACCAGAAATGATGAAGTCTAACCAGGAATGTAAAGGTGACCGATTAAATGGAGACTACCATCTCCAAGTTTATCAACTAATTAAGGTAGCAAATGTAGAAGCAAAATTTGCTGCTGTTAATTGGTAATCCGTAATAATAGAAAAAGGGGTTTTAACCGTTCAGTCCACCCCTACGGTGGAGCTAAGAGTTTTAGGGGTGGACTGAATTCTGACTGTGAATTGATGTTATATTTATGGGCAGGATATGATTTATTGGAGAGGCCACTAGTAGTTTAAGAGGTGGCTGTAATTTCAGATTTTAGGCTTTTTATTCGTCTTCTATACATACATATTAACTTTATTAATGTAGATTAGGTCTATGAGACTGGATTTATGGCAGGACCAAATCAGCCCGACTACTTTAATTTTTTGACGCAAGTAGGTAAGCCCAGGGAATTAGGTCCATTTTAATTCTGTTCATTGCATGCATGTTGGGCCAACTGATCCATAACATCTAATGGAGGAAGGAGATCGGCTTCAGTCAGAGCAGGGTCCGTTTGAACACTGTTCGAACAGTCTTTATAGCCTTGCATCGGGAATATTTCTATAATGCAAGACTATGATGGCTATTCGAATAGACTTTGCTCTGACTGAATACTGTTTCATTAGGAACGAATTAAAGGTCCCAAAATAACCGTTAATCCAGCCTGCATGATCAAAACTCTTTGGGGTCCTTCCTCTTTCGTTCTGTTTACAATTTTTTATTTTTTTAAAGGAAAGAAGAAATAAGAAAGGAAGCAGAATATCTAACAACAACATCAACACACGCCTAACTCTTTAAAGTCTCCATTAATTAGTTGTGACATGCATGCAAAATGAAAGGAATCGACAAATAGCTTCAGCTGTGCTGAAAAAGCTGAAGGGCACAGCTTGAGCTAATTGACCACTTACCGTCCATGCCTGATCGCATCTGCTGCCATGTTCATCTTCTCTTTTCCCTCTGAAGTCGAGCCACCATGCAGCAACTACTGTAGTTGACAAACCTACTTCAACGTGGTGGGGCTACACACATCTTAATTGAAGTGTGACAAAGATGTCTAGACTCTAGAGAGAGAGAGAGTGCTCTACGTCGTTTATTGCTGTAATATTTGTCTGTCCTGTTATCTGAGCTCGTCCCAATTATTGATTTGATTCAGTACACACACTCTCTCTCTCCCTGTGTGTGTGAAAGAGAGAGTGACATGGCAAAAGAATGGAATAATTAATGTATATAAAGGCTGACTGCTGACGTGGAGTTAGAAAAGGATCCCTAGAGTGAGAGTGAGAAAGAGAGGGAGCCCAAAAATCAAATATGGGGATGAGTAGCATAATTCGAGCTTTAGATACAAAGGTTAGCTACTTGCTATTTCAAGGGCCGGGTGGTCCGATGGGCTGACCCGGCCCTCGGACGGGCTTGAGCATGTATTTTAGTCTGTGGGCTTGACTTCAGGCTTAAAAGCCTGAGCCTGACTATTTTACAGGCCAGGCTCGGAATTTGTTAAAAATGCCCGGCCCGGCTTAACTTTTGTATAAGTTAAACCCTAACCCTAAATATTAATCCCTCTCTTATCACTCATATCCTTTTCTTAGCCGAACAAACTCCCTTTTCAATCATAGTCTCACAAACATTCTCAGAAAGACAAAACCAACGCAACCAATAAACTCCAGCGGTGACTGGTGAGTCCTCTCTCTCTCTCTCTCTCTCTCTCTCTCTTCATTGTTCAGTTGTTCCTCTTCTCATTTCTCCTTCTCACTCTCAGAATTTCAGCTCAGTTCATTTATCAGACGTGAACTCAGGCACCGGCAACGAGTCCTTTCTCTTTGCCCTTTTGTTCTATTCCTCTCTTATTGTTTGGTCGGCGACGAATATAGACACAGACACAAACACCAATCTATCTTTTTGTTAGATTGGGCTTCGGGGTCGGGCCCAGGCTTCGGGTATTTTATTAGGGCCAGACTCGGGCTTGGGCCTAACAAAATTTTGTTTATAAAGAATAAAAATCCGGCCCGGCCTATGAACAGGTCTAATCACGATCAAATTCATTCATCATCAACAAAATCGATCCTTGACCAGTTGACCCCCTCCTAGCTACATGCATGGTGCATGTGCATGGGGGGTATCATCAGCCTTCAGCCCGTCAGCTGCTAATCGGACAGCAGCGCTAGTCAGTTTGACCATTTGATCAACATTTTCCTCAATAACCCAAGAATGGAGAAATAATCGAAGCCGGTGGTTTGCCTATTTAGCTACCATGAAAATAATAAAAACAACACACACACGCCCAGACGAGAGATGAGGGCTCACGGAAGGAATTGTCATTGTCAATTTGTCATTCAGTAAGTGGAGTGGGACCATGAATCAATTACAATTTCCCCGGCCCCATGTACTTCTAGACGGGCACGTTCCACTCTGAATCCCTCTCTTCATTTTTTTTTGGGTTTGGATCCATGTCCATCTGCATTCTGCACTGTTTCTCCTGCTCTGCTCACGTCTAGTGAGTAGTGGCGTTTCATTTGTTACTAGTAGCAGCAGCTGCTCTCCATCTGCATGCACACTGATAGATAGAGATAGATATCGCCCCAGCCAAGCCAGCTCCTTAGTCCTTCCACCATGTTTGACTGCTTGGACTACACTGCTTTTGTTTTTCTTCTACTCCTCTCTTTTCCTGCCTCCCACATAGATATTAGCTAGAATAGATTATAGATGGATGGATCGATATATAGAAGAAAATAAATTCATACGAATCCTTTTCAGTCCACTGATAGAGACTTTCCCCAGCTCTTTTTCGATTGATCGAGTCTGAGGCTCAGCAACTTCACCAGAGCCCAGAATTTGGCTCCCTATCTCTAGCTACACCATGAAAACCCATCACCCCAAGCTCAAAAGCCCACCTCGTCCACTCTTCTCTTGTGGTATCTTTAGCTACTGCACTCAAACAGTACTTAGCCCCACTACTACTCAGACCCCAACCCTCCCTGAACCGGCTTCTGACACACCCCCACCTCCTCTTCCTCCTCCTCCGCCTCCGCCTCAACTTTCCACACCACCGTCCCGGCCTCATCCGGAGTCTGAGTCGTCTTCGTCTTCTACCTCCCAAAGCTTTACACAATGGCGATTCCCGTTGCCACAATCCCCGGTCGTACATCATTACGCATCAGCCGAGTTGGACGCACCTCTGGAATCCACGTCTGCCCAATTACCCAAAGCCTTACCGGAGACCGACACACCTCTGCCACTGGTCTCCAACCTCGAAGAGCTCTTCCACGTGGCGGAACTTCAGTTCAGCACCGGCTCTGACAGTGCTCGGCTTTCAGCTCTTCACCTGCTTGAACGTTCTCTTGTGCCGAATCCGCCGGCTGATGGAAGCCGAGACCCCACCTGCCCGCCGTCGGTAATGAGTGGGGTGGTAAGATTTCTGAAAGATCCGGCAGGTGCCAAGCCTGCAACAAAAGTTCTGCTGGCATTATGCCTGGCAGAATGCAATCGTCACGTCGCCGTGGAGGCGGGAGCAGTTGCAGAGGTGGTGGAGACAGTGGCGGAGCTAGAAGGATCGGCGGCAGAGCGGGCGCTAGCTGCGCTGGAATTGCTATGTACGGTCCCAGAGGGAGCTTCGGAGCTGAGGGCCCACGCCTTGGCCGTTCCAATGCTGGTAGAGATGGTAACGAAGATGGCGGGAAGAGGGAAAGAGCATGGGATAAGTGTTCTGGCAGTGATTTTTGGAGGGGGTGGCGAGGAGGGGGTTGCTCCGCCGGAAGAGGTTGGTCGAGCAGTGGTGCTAGCGCTACAGGGAGAGTGCAGCGCAAGGGCGAGGAGGAAGGGGGCCCAGATTCTAAAGGTGCTTCAAGAGAATGGACGGCTGGATCTGACGGAGGACGGGCGCTGATGAACGTTGATGGACTTTTGTTCTTTTGGCATACATAGGCAGACGACAGACGTAGAGTAGAGGAGAGAGAGAGACCATCTTTTTTTTTCTTCTTTTTCGTGTTTTGTCCTATACTCCTATATTGAATTTATGTTTAATATTCTACAATTCTACTTGGTATTTTGTAGCTGAATGCCTGAAACCCTTCACAGAAAATGAAGTGTGGGAGTCAGATGCCGGCAGCACAGAGAAACAAAAAAGGAATACTTTATACATGTGATGGGATGCCGGCGACCCAACTCTCTCGGATTCGCGTGCAGTGGTTTGTGTCATTGTGAATGTGTGTGAGACATTGTAAATTGTAATTAAGTTCGCAGTCCACACCTCGCAGGGGTGCAATTTGGGCAGGCAGGAATTGGACTTTTGTCAAAATTTAAATGGGTCCCGTCCCGGCCCATAGGGTCTAATCAAACCAGTGGACAATGTAAACTTAGGCCCATCCAAGTTGCACCACTATTAAACAGGGCCGGAACGTGTAGCGTAGCAGTGTAGGTCATGAGGTGACACAGCAAGAGGCAACTAACAAGGCGAAGGACCAGTGGTGGTGTATCAGATTCAGGCCACGTATTTGAATTTACAAAGTGGACGGGCTGGAGGTCTATTTATTAGTGTTGAAGGCTAATTCATCATATTGACGTATGTTGGAACAAAAACGGCCATCCTTGGTAGTTGGTATGGGTCTCAAGTCTCAACTAGGGGCAACGTCATAAGGTTACTTCTGCTTGCTATCTTGCCAAACTCTGTCTATAGTATAATTCACAATGCACAGAGCTAGGGATGTAAACGATATTCAAAAGTTGGATTTTGTATTCATTATTTAATATAATCACATCAAATTTGGACGGCTTTTTCAAATTGTTCAAATGAGCAATCATATACTTTACGTTGTTAAAATTTCCCATACTCAAAAAGTTTGAGAATCATCCATATAATTGATACTAGATTTCTTGTTTATTCAACATTTTAGAAGAAAATGATACAACTTAGGGGCAAATCATACATAAAAAAAAAAACCATTAAAGAAAATATATCCATTAAGAAGAAAATTAAGAGGAAAATATTATGCAGAAAATAGGGAAAAAAATTAAAAGTTAGCCAAAAATAGAAAAATTGCAACCTTGTACGGGTGCAGCTCGGGTTGGCCCAAGTTAACATTATACAGTGCTTTGGTCTGAGCCCATTCAAATTTTGACAAAAACCCACCCCAAGTTGCACCCCTGCAAACTTGAGATGCTAGATTTCTAGTCACCAAAAAGTGTAAAATAGTAAGAAAAAAAACTATTTAATTTGGCTAACAATGAAAAGAGAATAATGAACTTGTTGCATTGATTACTAGGAACTCTATATGCTCCGTTAGCTTTTCATTTTAATCTTATTTTATTTGGCCTATAATTACCAAAGTGCCCTTACCATATGTTTTAAAGTTAAAAAAAAAAAAACTCAATTGTCACAATTTTTTAGACTTATTCCTACAAGCTTATATTAATAAACTTACAGGAATCTGATATAGAAGCTCTACTCACTCCCTTCTCACATGATTTTAGAGCCATCAAAAGACTAGCAGTTACACCAGTGAATCTTTCTAAACATATTTTTTTGACCAGTTACAAATGGAAGAAGCATTGTTCATAATATTCACAATAGATAGAGCATTGCAATGAATAACCAGATCTTTAGGCTATGTTTGGTTTGAAGGAAAAGGTAGGGAAACCTTATACAGGTTTCCCAGTCTTTCCCTTCCTTTCCCTACCTTTTCCTTCAAACCAAACATAGCCTTAATATTTCTTCTCCATGCTTCCTGAAGGCCCAAAATAATTGCCTCCCATTCAGCATCCTAGGGTTGTTTTGCCTTAACCATATGACCTGCTGCTGCAATCTCCTCTCATAACAACATATGAACTAGTCTGATTAATGAATTACATAAAGGATCATCAATCTGTGTACTGGCAATATTGATCCTCTCCTATTTCTCTAATAACTGATATGGGATCTGTAGAGACATCCTCATGCAACCTCCTGTTCCTTGCATCTCATATTAGTCTAAGAGCAACTGAAACTCTTCAAAAGGCGCAAGTGTGACGCTAAGGCTTAAGCCTTTTAAAAATTAAAACCATCCTACTATCTAGTCTAGTCTCAAAAAACGATTGTGAAGCCTTGAACGGGCTCAACAGGGCTGGTCACTGACCTAACCCGTCTTCTTGTATCCTTTTAGGTTGTTTTGAACTGGGACTAGGGTCGGGATCATACGCGTCCAACCCAGGTTTGGTTCAAAGATACCTGACAATTAATTTTTAAGGCCACAACTAAACAAGGCGTATTTCCATGGTTACAGTCTACAAGAAGACAATTAACCCGTCTTCTTGTATCTTTTTTGGATTTGCTTCGAATTTAGTATAATAATATACACCCATGTCGGATTTCTGGATTATAATATCATATATTTATTAACAAAATCAACTTCAAACTGCCTTCGACAAAACTAGATATATCATACACCAACGAACCAACCACTGTCTAAGTACCCAGGATTTGTGTAAAATTCAGTTATTCTCATGTGAATTAATATAGCATCTGTCAAAGTGATTGGTTAGTGTAGGAAATCCGGATTCCTTTGGGCTCAGTTTGGAAAGAATACAAATACAAATACATACAAAATAATGCAAAATATAAGGCTTTAAACTCTACAAATCTGTATTTGTACTCTTTCCAAACTGGGGTAAAACTAAAGTTCATATTGCTTTTGTGATTTAAGGTTGCTTTTGCTATGATGCTTTTAGAGATTCACTTCAATGTGGGCTGAACTACAATTGAAGCGGCCGAACTATGGATGGGCTATCGTGAATGGGCTCACGCTGGCCTGGAGGCTAAGAGACTGAGACACAAAGGATGCAGAAATCTTGTTCTCCAATCATACCCCTTTATCCACCACTGTTCAAGCCCTCACAACTCAAAAGATGTCCTAATTGGAAGGTAACTCTGTAACTCGCTTTTTTCAGTCATTCGCTCCTGAAAGCAAAAATTGTGCACACACCCCAAGACTATGGCATCTAACTGCTCATCGGGAATATAGAGTACCCTTAGGTCTTGTTTTGATCTTGTGCTTGTTAGTTTGTAATAGTTCATTGTTTAAATAAAAAAAAAATGTCATTGAAATTTTGCAAAAAATAAAAAGAGAATCAAAAAAGAAAAAGGTATTTAGGCAGTGATAAGCTCCAACATTTAGGCAACCAATTATATATATTTTTTACGGTAAAATTACTCCATTCCATATAATGTTCAGTTAAAATACAAACGATTATCAGGAAATGATTCTGCAAACCTAAATGCATTGAAATGAATGGCATGGGGTATACAACAATCGAACTTCATATATGTGATGCAAGAAAAATGCAAAATATTAGTAGATCCTAGATTTCCCTGCATTTGGGTACACCCTATAAAACCTTTACCATCTATTCCCGCGTATTCAAGAACCAGGTTCAGATATTTGAACATAAACCATCTGAGTGTACCCATTAAATACAGAATTCTCAAGTCTTGTTAAGCCAAGCCTCTGAAACAAGCCAAATCTACCATCTTCAACAAGAGGTGTCTGTGCACGGGCAGGATCATATCTTGTTTGATGGGTAAGGGAAGGACCTGCCACCGGAGGAAGTTCCCAATAGACATCTAGTACCGATTCCACAAATCTGCTGTTCTGAAAATGTTCAACATAAGAAATTGCCTTGTTGCTATGGTTGAAATCATCCCGCATCTGCCCTCTAACTCCCCACCATGCTCCATCTGGCCCACATAGTTCTTCTCTGTCCACAGCCTTTTCCCAGAACTTATTTCTCTGCATCCTAATCCTAGCTTCATCACTGTCTGGGAAGCAACTATGACCGCCACCTACAAAAAATGAAAAATCCCAATAAGCAACTACTCTTATAATTATTTTTTCTTAAATTTTGTATAAAAATTCTACCCTCAAAGTAAATAGCATATTATTTTCGCTTATATAACATATCTCCATCTCCCATTAGATTTTGGTATTCTTCTCTTATGCTTCACATTTTACAAGTGGATAACTGTTATTTAGAATATAAATTTTCAATAAAATAGATTTCTGAAAAAATTGAAGAAAAGGGATAGAGGAAGGGCAAAAAAAAAAAAAAAAGGTTATGAGGCCATCCCTGTGCCTGTGTGGAGGGATTAACTAATAATAAGAAACAAGTTATCCTGTTAATTTACTGCTGCAAAGAAATTGGTTTGTCACAATAAATGGCGATTACTACCCTATCTAATCGTGAGTAATTTTAACTTTATTAATATAAACTTGTAGAAATAGAGATAGGACAAACAACCTTTGACAGGGTGGCGATTACTACCCTATCTCAATGATAATAAACAAGTTACAAACAAGCCCAATACATTAAATTTCTAGCAACCCCCCATTTTTTYTTTTTTYTTTTTTTTTTTTTTTTTTGGGGGGGGGGGTGGTTAGGAGGGATCAGCACTAGTTAAGTAGTAGCACCCATTGACTCTTCAAAGCATGATTTTGAAAATCGGACCAGAAATGGAAAGGTTTTGGCCACCAGTTCCCAGGTCAAATGGTCCAACTGTCCAGTCCAAACCCGGGTCAGATGGTTTTGGGGTCCAAAACTGGACCAGGACCTATGACCGGTTCCCAGGTCAACCAATCCAGTTTTCAAAACCATGCTTCAAAATTATGCACCTTGTTAGCCAATTGTCTGTTTTATTTCATTTTTTACCAATAACTGCAGATTTCATTAAATAAGAAAAAGAATGTGTACAGAAAAATAATACAAGGACTTAGAGATAAACTCTCTTATCTCTCCCCAAGCAATTTTCTTTTTAGAACTGTGCCCAAAACATATTTTCTCTCCCCACCCCTTGTGCTTTGCCAAAACATCTGCAAAGGAATTGACAGTTATTTAAACTTTTTTCTTGTTTTAGTTCCACACCTTCATTTATTCACTTTGTAACCACCCCACCACCAATTTTGAGTCTCCTTCAATAGTTAATTTCCTTATGTTCATAATCCTTGCCCTTTGTTCTCCTATCATTGCCATGACCTCATCCCTAAGAGAATCATCCTCACCTGCTGGGCCTGAGTATAGAGCAACTATCTTCCCCTCATCATCTCTGAAAACCCCTCAAATTCCTGACAACCTGGATTTACAATACTACTTCCATCGAAGTTGAGTTTAATGAACCCCATCTCCAGTGGAGACCACAAAGGAGTGGCGATGCTCTTTTTGTGGGACAATTCAGCCAATCGGCCCAATCTTTCCAGTTTCTAAGCATATCAGCCACTGTGGTGGATGAGAATGTTTCCAAGGACTTCAACCAATGGGTTGTCTAATTGTAATAGATTCAATTAGAGACTCCCTACTTCTCTCCTTAGCTAAGAAAATTCTTGAATTTCCTTCCTCCCAAATTGTTAACAGTATAGCTGCCCTTACAGATCTCCACATGATTCTCCCCCTCTTCTTTGGCCATGCAAAGGTTGTTGTAGCAAAGAGGCCATTGACAGTTCCTTCCACTTCCTGTTTCATTTCATTTCTATAAACACAACCACTTCCTTCCTGCTTTCCATCCCAGCCTATGACAGTTTTAGAATTGGAGTACTGCAAGGAGTTCAGCCCTTGTTGAGTCTCCTTTCCTTTCTGATTGTTCAGAAAACAGAAAATGGGAGCATGTTCCCATTGATACTCTTTGTTCTCTATATATATTTTTTATCAGCAACATGGAAATGATTTCATTAATAAAAAACAGGCATAAGTACAACATGAGGTTATGAAAAAAGAAGAAAAACACAGTTATAGAAAAGCAGACTCAACCCAGATATTACAATTGAGTTCTTTGTACCCCGTGCTTAGCTAGACCATCTGCCAAGCTGTTGGCAGTTCTTCTCACCCACTTAACTCTTTGTTCTCTATATCAAGATCCTAAATGTGCAAAACTACAAGATATCTTAAGAGACAACCATGCTACATGAAGAGAAGACATGGGTTTCATCTATATGTATTGAAGATTGTCACACATCCCCTGATATCACACCTTAAAACATCATAATAGCATCAGGGGACTCTTACATCTTTTATTTTTCTTCCTCTTCTCTGTGTGGTTGATTATGCTTTTCTTTTATCCTTATTTTCTTCTTATACTTTTATATTTCTTTTCCTTTCTTTGCACAGTAGTTTTTAAGTTTTTCTTTGTCTCTATGTGCATTGGGAAAGTAACACTACTTGTTGACTTGATTTTAGCCTATCCTTGCTATAATCTATAAATTCTGCACAGAACTATTCATATTAGTCACAGTAGCATCTCCACAGAGCTCCTCTATGTTTTCAAGCATCAGCAGTTGGCATTGAATTTGATAGATACTATCATTATTAAGGCATTATTCACACTATAATTTCTAATAAAAAGTAGAACTTTCAGTTTAAACAAGGAAATATATGTATTATAAGATACAACAGGAATACAGGACACAAGGTATACATGCTTCATTTTTTTTTTGGTATTACATAGTACATAGTACACACTACAGGGGATTCAGGGATGGGGATAGGACAGGTGTACGTGAGGTCCATTGGCCATGCTACAGAGAGCTTGCAGTTCCCCAGTTTTGATTTGACCACAAACATTATTTTGGAGGAGTGCCAAGTGACCATTCAACTTCTGGATCATTGGCTACATGCTTCATAAGATCATATATAGCATACATGAAAAAGTAAAATAGGATAGGAGAAACACACCTCTAATGTAGAATTGATCACATATCTGCCTCAGTGAATAGTGATCACCAGTTCCAGTGTCATAGTTATCCTCAAACACAAGATGTCTGAAGCCAGCTTTCAGAGCCTGCTTAAGCCTACCAGCTCAAAGCATAAACATGGAAAATTTATCAACTGGAAATTCCTAAAGGAGAAAAGAAAATGAAAGACAAACATGCCCAACATATTACAATAGTTAAAATATAAACGTAGTTGTGCATAAATTGTTACATAAATGTTTAAGGAATTCCAGTTTAGAGACAGCACCTCTTTAGTTCATTCTGATGATCATCAAAAAAGATGAGAACACGATTAGCATCAGTAATCCCATGTTTCTTCATGACACTTCCCCAATTAACACTACCGAAATCCACAAAGTCCTTGCCAGCAAAGTATGTGCAATTCCCATCAACATAAGCAGGTCCTTTCCTGAGGTACTTCTCTGGGTGCCGTGGTGTGAAAGACACTATGGGTTTGTCTGGCATTGCTTGTCGGAGAACCCAGGTGGAATGCCCCTTGAAGGCACCACTCTCAATCATAAGATCTGGCTTCAGCCACCGCGCAATGAACCAAAGACCAAAGCTATGGTCGAATCCCATCCCATACATGTTATTTTTTATGGGACGGGTTTCGTAGATTGGTACAAACTCCTCCAAGCCCTTAAGCAAATCCTTTGACGTCCATTCAACCGTTCGCCCATGTTTCGATCTGCCTTTTTCCAATGACACGAATTATTTTTGATCAATATGACATGAATTAAATGGGGGTAAATTAAGAACTCAATGACTCGGTATTCAATTCATCAGGTTAAGTAAACTCTAAAACTTTCTCTCAACTAGCATTGTAGTTACATACCATCCAGACAGGAACCAACCAAGCGAGTGAAAACATGAAAAACAAAACGAAATTTTCTCACATCCACATCAAAAACCAACAGAAAAAGAATTTTTGAGTGGCGGGGTTTAGTGACCAGATAAAGATAGACCAAATTAATGAACGAGTAACAGGAATGCAGCAAAACTCCTTCAGATCTGACATGAGCATGACTCGTTAAAAGAAGCCAACATGAAGGAGGAAGACAGAACCCTAAAGCAAACCATTAAACAAGGCCGAGATCAGAGCGAGAAAAACTTACACCAGGGTACACCGAGGTATCCGAAGTCGGAATCAAGGGCGTCGATGCTAAAGAAATTCATCCGAGAAGAAGGCTGGTAGGAAGAGATACAAACGAGATTGCGGGAATGCGGTGAGAAGAGGGAGAAGATGAGAAGGAAAAGAAAGAGAAGGATACATGGCCGCAAAAACCCAATCTTATTCATGTACTGGGTGGTTCTCACGGCGAAGGAGATGTTCTTTCTGGTCTTCGATTCGTCATCTTCGTCGTCTCCTTCTTCGCTATACTGCGCAGGTCTGCGCAAAGAGAGCACTCTCTCAAGCATGCTAATTGGCAATTGCTAAGGGGGGGAAGAGGCCAGAGCCAGAGCCAGAGCCAGAGCCCAGAGGGAGTAGAGTGTGAGCGCGAGTAGTAAGGAATAAGGATTATGACCCCATCGTCATCGTCATCGGTTGTCCTCTCACCTCTCTTCTCTTGGGTTTTATTTCGGCCTTTTCACGCATTTTGATATTTATATGATAATAATTAGGCGGGAGAGATCACGCTGATTAATTTGGCTAAAATAGTGTGAAGTGTGTGATCCCTCATCCCTGTGGCTGTGGGTCGTGTTCATCATTCAAGGGCTAAAAATTAATTTGAAAAGTTATCACATTTTGAAGTTGCTCATCTTTTATGCTAATCAGTCGCGAATAAGAGGCTTTGCTCAATGTGGTTGTGGTCCCCCCCCCCCTCCCATGATTATTATCCATAAATCGATTAAACCGGTGACTAAACTCTAAAGTATTTCCCATATTGGGGGTTAGTTTTTTAAATCTTATCGCAAATGTTAGATAAGTGTCAAATGGCTAATAAGTTGATCAAGTCTTTGCCTGATTGTAACGGAGATTTGGAATCAAATTCCCCTAGTGATCAGTTGCAAAAGCCTTTTGGCTGATTCTTGTGAGGTCGGCTTCAGTCCATGGTTTTTGAACCGTCATTGACCTAGATGGTCGGACCGTTTGGCCAGGGAACCATCCAAGCAACCTGTTCCATTTTACCCCAAATCCGATCTCTGGTAAAAACCGTTGAATCAGTCAACGACTCATTGATCCGAGTAGTCGAACCGTTGACCTGTCAATCCATTCAAAGGTTTTTGACTGTTTTTTATGTTTAATTATTTTTTTAAATTTTTTGTTAGAATGGGCCGTCCATTTGAACTGGAAGGTCAAACCATCGACCCAAAAACTAGTGGCCAAAATGATTCCGTCTCTAGGTCATTTTTTAAAACCATGCTTCAGTCGGTGCTCACACCGTTCGAACAGCCTCTCCCAACCTTGCATTAGGAATATCTCCCTACTTATATGCTTTATATCATAGAGGGAGATATTCCCAATGCAAGGCTGTAATGGGTTTGAACGGGTCATGCACTGATTAATGCTGAAATCGATTGTTGCCCACACTTTGAGTTTTAGATCAAATTCCAATGTCAATATGGTTGAGTGGTGGGTGGAGTGGGGTGGGGGTTATGGGAACAGGTTCTGCTCCTCACACAGGGATGCCTCATAGGCACATCCACCGTGCATTGGAAACATCTCCCGTGAATAATAATTTATAAGTACACATCCACCATGCATTGGGAACATCTCCCACGAATAATAATTTGTAAGTATGGGAGATGTTCCCAATATATGATAGGATGTGCGCATGAGGTCGGTGTGAGGCACCCTGTGTGAGGAGCAGATCCGGTCTCAGGAGAATGGGCCACCTCCTGTTGTGTAATCATAAAAAGTGCAAGGCAAATTTATACTTTGGATTATAAATACAAATCTTAAATCATAAGGACTGAACCATGGACCTATTTTTACCACCAGTTTTTAGAAAACTGTGAACTGAATCGATCGGTTCAGTTTTTAAACCAGTTTGGTTCATTGGTTTTTTGATATTTATAATAATATATATATAATATGCCAATTGATTCGATTAATTGTCAGTTTTTTATATTGATTAACTGAAACTGAACATATACCTTCAGCTTTTCAAAAATATCAAAACGACCAATTTGGTTAACCATAATTTTCGGTTTTGATTTGATTTTTCAAAATTTTCGGTTTTTGATTATCACTCCTAAAACCAGATACAAATTTTGCACCCAGCCCCAGGTCAGTTTTACATATGTTTGTTACTTGTGCATGTAACTATGATTTGCTCTCCAATCAAAGAGATGGATATTAGAAATGTAGGTGATAAGTTGATAAACATGATATCAAAGTGGCTGAAGTTGAACATGGCCACAAACAAGTACAGTTGTTTTGGCCAAAAAAACAAAAATTCATTCCTCCGCGACTGAACTGTGTCCTCTCTTTACTGCAATGCAAATTGCAAATGGGGAAAACAAATAAATAAATAAATAAAGAAGAGAGATGGCTCTCTTGTTCCATCTCCCTCAAAATGTAGATTTCATAAGTAGCTTTTTGGATGACAAGACAAGAAGAGCATCATTAAAATTACTTCTATCTAAGACCTTAACTCTCTTTTATCGCAACAAAAAGAATGAGATAACCCTCCCAATGTCAATGGCCTCCTCGGTGCTACTGTACTCTTAAGGGTAATCCCTGGAACTGCTCAATAGCTCTGTATGAATTCCCTCCTCGTCCATTCTGCCTTAGGTTTCTGTTTGCACCTCCTCGATTTCCTCCCCGAGGGTAAAGCGTGCAAACCTCCTAACTTTTATGTTCTCCCCAAGGGCGGCAATGGTCTGCTTCACCAAGTCCTTAACTAGTACACTGTCATTCTTGATGAAGGGCTGCTCCAACAGAGCAAGCTCTCCAAGTCTCTTTGCCACCCGGCCCTCAACAATCCTCTCCCTTATGTTCTCAGGTTTCGACTGCAAGTCCTCTCTTTGCATCTCCAGCTCTTTTTCCTTGTTCACCACACTCTCCGGAATATCTTCTACAGAAACAACTTGCACCTGTGGGCAGGCTGCCACCTGCATTGCAAGATCATCAACCAACTCCTTGAATTTTTCACTTCGACCCACAAAATCAGTTTCACAGTTGACTTCAATCAGTACACCAATCCTGGAATCATGGACGTATGATCCAATCCTGCCTTCAGCTGCCAGCCGGCTAGATTTCTTGTCTGCACTAGAAAGTCCCTTCTTTCTCAGATACTCCCGTGCCTTCTCAAGGTTACCTCCGGTTTCTGAAAGAGCTTTCTTGCAATCCATCATGCCTGCCCCTGTTTCTTCTCGTAGTTGCATAACTAGTGCAGCAGAGACTGTTACTGTTGGCGGTCTGCAATAGAATCTCAAAGTCAGACCATGGAGATTATTGATTAAAAAGAAAGCCATGGCTGCTTCATTTATGAGACATTTATCCTTGATATGTATGTAATGGATGCACGGTCTACATATTTTGCACAATGGATGGCTACACCATTTGAAGGGTGCCCAAGGAAATTAATTGTGGACAGAATAGTATAATGAAATGACTAAATGGACCATCCAAAATAATTCAGCAAAAGAGATCCTTTGCGACCTGGGCCTTATGCACATGAACATTCAAGATGTGCACCTCAGATGAAGATTGATAACCTTGGAGATCCATAAAACAGGATTGATTCTAAGTATGGTAATTGGGCATTATTGAAATTCAATATATAGTAAAAGATGATAAGTAGGTCACTTAATGATTATTACTTATATATACTCTTATCATATGACTACAAAACTTCAAGTTCCTAAGGGGAATTCAGGAATTTTATATTAAATTAAATATTGATTTTCTACAAGTAATACTAGTACTAGCAAGAACAAAAGGGAGAATATTTATGGATAAGGTGCTTACTGTATGTTAAAAGATTTGAAATAAATTGAAATCTTCCTACCTTGTGCCAAAGTAGAGTAAATATGGGAAGCATTTATGTTTATTTTATTAAAAAGAAACTTTCTGAGGCTATATTATATATTTATATATTGAACTTTAGTAGTGTTAGATGGTGGTAGCTTTATATCTCTGTGGGTAACATGAACATAGTGAAGTTATGACTGTGTATCCAATAAAAACACACGTGCATGTGTCTGGGAGGAGGGGTGCATGCATTTTTTAGTTATTTTGCTTGTTTTTGTATGCGAAAGGTTAGGTTTGTATCCAATCCACCACTCCCAAGACACCAGATAGCTGGAACCAACATTGGGTAATGGCCTTTTTTGCTTTTTTAGATGTTCAAGGGGTTGGCCAATGAATGACTGAAAAAGTCTAGAGGAGTGCAGGGGACATGTGCAAATAGGACTACATAACAAGAAACAAGTATGACTACTTTGGGAAACCCAAAATACAGATGCTTGGGCATTCTTTTATTAGTTTAAAATGTAAACAATGGAATCAGAGTAAAGATGTGTTTGTTTCATAAAAAAAGATGTTTTTACAAGATACTTAATGTTAGTAAAACATTCTTTCCAACTAAATAATAAAATGCTTTCATTGTTATTGATATAAGAAAAGAATTAATAATGTTAGTGTGCAATATAAATGAACTTACATCAGAATAATGCTGGTCTTCACCAAAAAAAATAATGCTGGTATTTATGAAAAATTATATAAACTGTTTAATGAGTAATAGAATGAGAACGAGTTAAAATACATAATACTAGATTGCATTATTAAATAAGGATATTTTTTGACTGGTCATTATTAAATGGAAAAATCTATGCTGCTGGAAAGACATGATACCAGAAAGGATTTTCCCAACCATGAAGTTTAATGAAAACCCACCTGATTGGTTACTACTTGTATGATGCCAGTTGATTGGTTATAAGTTTTTCGGGTATCATGTCTTTCCGGCATCATAGCTGAACCCTTATTAAATAAGTATATGGTATATGACATGATGCTCATTAAAATAGAACTTGAAAAAGGATCAAAGACATTAACAAAAGATGATAAGCTAAACTTTACCCTTGCTACAAATGTTAACTTATAGAACAATGCACTACTCTAACATAGGCACAGAAGATGTACTTCCATAATGCACAATATTAATTTGGAAGCTCAACAAAGTAAACCTATGAATTCTTTAACAATGCATTAGCATAACTACCATGTATGTATTGCAAAAAATTATCATATGTCTTTCGTTGCTATCATTTTTCCAATTTCTTTTTCCTTTTCAGTGGGATAAGCTGGGAATAGATACATGACAGTGGCACTGAAGGCAATTAAGACAGGGATGGAGGTGTGGGACCATATTGCCATCTAAGTTACCTGGCTGAATAATGCATTCCCATTTGCACTGTTAATATAGTTGGGTTCTTTGCCACTACTTTAGCTTGCTATCTAATAATTTGACTATATTAATTATCAAAGCTAATGAAAAACCAATATATCATCATAGTTACTGCTCAGAGAATAGCCAGGAGGAAGAAAAGGCTTACTTCTGAACAGTTTCTTTGGCTTCATCTGCATCAGGTTGCTCTTTTTCTGGAACTACAGGCAATGATTTAGCAGCAGTTTGGGCAGCCACCTCTGCTGCAAAATCCTGGCTTTTCTTCTCCAAGCCTTCTCCAAGACTATACCTTACAAACCTCTTCACTTTTATATTCTCTCCAATGGTTGCAATTGTCTGCTTTACCCAATCCTTCACTGCCACCTTATCATTCTTTATGTAAGGCTGCTCCAGCAATGCAAGCTCCTCAAGCCTCTTCCTGATACGACCTTCAACAATCTTTGACCTTATCTGCTCTGGTTTTGACAATAGATCTTCCTTCTGCATTTCAATCTCCCTTTCCTTGTTGACAATCTCTTCTGGGATATCATCAGTAACAACGCATTGCACTTGAGGGCAGGCAGCCACTTGCATGGCAAGGTCATCAACCAACTCCTTGAAGATGTCACCCCGAGCAACAAAGTCTGTCTCACAGTTCACCTCAATCAGGACACCAATCCTGCTATCATGAATGTATGAGCCAATCCTGCCTTCAGCTGTGACTCTACTTGCTTTTTTATCTGCACTAGCTAACCCTTTCTTCCTCAGGAATTCCTGAGCTTTAACAATGTCCCCTCCAGTTTCTGCAAGAGCCTTTTTACAATCCATCATGCCTGCTCCTGTTTCTTCCCGGAGCTGCTTTACAAGAGCTGGGGATATGGTTGCTGCAAAGCATGCATGAACTGAAATCAGGAAGTGAAGGATGATATGCATTTTCTTTGGGATTACCGTAACATAAAGATATTTTTATTTCTGAACTGTGATCCTTATTTTGCTTGACTCATTCAATTTGCCCTTCTGTTTTGGTTTTAGTAGTTCAAAACTATAAAGGCCACTGCCCATTGTTTGTCCTAGCTCTCTGGAGTCTTGGGAGAGGTAGACTGGACACAGACCTAACTTTGGCATTTCTACACAGAGTAGCTGTTCTCAGACTCGAACTCACATCCTCGTGCTTGTCAGCCTGAGAATTTAGCATTATACCATGAAATGGTCCCTGGTTTGAATTCAAAACTACCTGAAAAAATGTATTCCTATTGAATGTCTTTTTGCCTAGACAAGATCAGATAAAGAAGGGGCAAGCATAGTGTCAAATCAGAGTAAAAGCAATATATATATATATATATATAGATAGATAGATAGATAGATAGATAGATAGATAGATAGATAGATAGATAGATAGATAGATAGATAGATAGATAGATAGATAGATAGATAGNTAGATAGATAGATAGATAGATAGATAGATAGATAGATAGATAGATAGATAGATAGATAGATAGATAGATAGATAGATAGATAGATAGATAGATATTGTTGTCCTAGAAACAGAAGAAAAGAAAAGAAAGGATGAAAGAAGAAAATCAATATGTGTTTATCAGACAAAGTTTTCAGTTCTTCCATGTTTATTAGTTCAAGTTTTAAAGTCTTCAAGGGTTCAAGACAGTATACATCTTGATTGAACCCTAGAAAATAAGAAAAATAATAAAGAGAATGTAGTATTTAACTCAAACTAAATAATTTAGTTAAATAATGTCTTATTATTATTATTATTATTATTATTATTATTATTATCTCATAAAGTAAGAATATAAAAGCACCCAAGAGCACTGTGTAAAAATATTTTGACAATTGGGGCGGCCTTCCATGAGAACCTTATTGCCTAAGCATCACTCTACATGTTAAGCTACCTTGGTATTATTTGATTGTCATAGTTAGACAGTATATCCTCGAGGTAGTCTCTATTTTTTTTATATGATAATGGGTTGTTCTTATATCATTTGGTGTACCAATACAAACATGCCTTCACTAGGTTATTTGGTTTTGCATTTGATTGATAGCAGCATGTTTTTGTTTTATTCGATGTCGGTCGCAAGAATTGGTGTGACTATGTGAACTCAAGAAAACCAAATCACCTAGGCATGCACTCATTTGGTGATTTGGTTTATCCTTTGACTTATAGTATGTTTGGGTATTTTTAAAGGCCACAAGAAAGTATTATAATTAAAGTGAACTTATCACCTCCACTTGGTAGGCTACCTTTGTATTTTTTGATATTCCTACTAAGGTAGTCAATCCCAGAGGTAGTCTCTGTTTTATTATATGATAGCAGGTAGTTCATGTATCACTTGGGGTAGCAACAACAAGCATGCACTCCTGGGTAATTTCATCTTTCATTTGATTGATATAATGTCTATGTTTTATCGAAGGGTTGCAAAAAAGTGTTGTAACCATGTGGACAAATTGAAACCAAATCACCTAGGCATACACTGAAAGGTGATTTGATTTAAAATTTGATTATTAGCATGTTTTTGACTTGTTACATGGTTACAAGAAAGTGTTGTAACCACATGAACTCATCAAAATCAAATCACCTAGACATGCACTCACTGGGTGATTTGGCTTTTCTTTTGATTGATAGCATGTTAGTACTGTGACCATGTGAACACATCACAACACATGTTAGGCTACCATGGCATTTCTTAATTGTCATAGTAGGGTAGTAGACCTTAGAGGTAGTCTCTTATTTTTTTTCCATATGTTGGTTGTTTTTGTACCATTTGAGGTAACAAAAAAGCGTGCACTCACGAAGTGATTTGATTTTTCATTTAATTATTAGCATTTTTATGTTTTATTGTAGGGTTGCAAAAAGTGTTGTGACCATGTTAACTCATCAAGAGCAAATCACCCAAGCATGCACTCACTAAGCAATTTGGTTTTTCATTTGATTTATAGCATGCCTGTGTTTTATTGGAGGGTTGCATGAAAGTGTTTGGGTTGTTTGAACTTTGAACTAACCGCTCAACATGTTAGGCTACCTCGATATTTCTAAATTGTCATAGTAAGGTAGTAGACGCCAAAGACAATCTCTATTTTTTCATATGTTAGTGGATTGTTAGTGTGTCATTTGGGGTAGCACCAACATTATGTACTAACTGGATAATTTGGTTTTTTGTTTGATTAACAACATATCTGTGACTAGTAAACACATTGAACCAAATCACCCAAGAAAGCATTCACTGGGTGATTTGGTTGATAGCATGGTGCATTTTATTGGAGGATCCAAAAAAGTGTTAGGACCATGTGAACTCATTGCTCCACATATCTTTGTATTTCTTGATAATCAAATGTAGTGGACCCTAGAGGAATGGTTTTTAAGGCATCGAGATAAATCTAGGTGATGTTTGATGTTTTTTTTTTTTTGAATAAAACCCATCTTTCACTATAAATTGTCACCTAGGTGATGGGTTTTTTGAATAAAAACAATAAATCCTAGGGAAATTCCATAGGTTCCATAGCAAGCGGCAACCATCTTTTGCTATTAATCGTCTATAATCTTCATAAAAAATGTACAAGCTTCATTTGCAACATAGAAAATCAACAGATTCATGACAAAAATGGATGAAAAAGAAATTTCAGAAAATGGAAGAGCTGTTTCTTTCCTAGGAAAAGAAGAAAACAAAAGAATGTGTGAAAATAATCATTATGTTTTGATTGGGAAAATTTCGAGTTGAGGGTTCAAGGCAGTATACATGTTGAATAATTTAGTTTACTAATGTCTATTTCATTACTATAATATCAAAAAGTTAAGAATAGAAAAGTATCCTAAAGCACCGTGTAAAACATGCCTTGGCAATTAAGCAAGGCAACCCTCCATGAGTGCCTTATTGTCTAGGCATTGCCTTGAAAACTATGATCAATCTCTACTAGATTACAATTCAATAATCAAGTCCCTCAATAGTACAAGGACTGAATGCACACATATTATCATTGATCATTAATATGAAAATTATTTAATGAAGTTGCCGTTTCCAATAAAAAAAATCATTAATATGAAAATTACTGGCATTGAATCCACAAAGTAAATTAAAAGTATTCCTTGATAAAAATTTGGACTACAAAAATAAACCAAGAGACATAGAGAATATATTAAATAACTAGGCATTCATCATGTATCCAGGAAAATGAAAAATCAAATCTTTATTATATAATCATTTATTTTAGGTTTGTTATGTATTACTTCCTAGAAATTAATTATATATTTCATTAATACAATACAATACCTTTTTCTCAAAAATAATTATATATTTCAATTGTCACAATTTAACTCATGTGACTATTATCTAATGATGGTCCTATTATCTGGGGTCTTAGGAGGGGTAGACTGGATATGGACCTAACCTTTGGCATTAAAGTGGTCATTCACAGACTTGAGCCCACATTCTCATGCATGTCAGCCCAATATTTTACCATTGCACCAACCACAAATCAATGACCCCTTTTCACCTGTGATGAATTTAAAAAGGTTACTATGGATGATCTTCTGAGGGAGGTCAGAAGATAGGTAGGAAATTATAAACTTTGATAAGTCCAGTCTAGGTAAACTAGAGGATTCTGGCATATGGGGAGTCAACAGAGATGAAAAGAGGGGGAATCCTTAGTTTCTCCGGGTGGACTGGCATCAGAAACTCTCTAAAAGAAAAACCGTTGGCATTAGTCTAGGGTTTAAAACTTGCTTTATCCATTGGGTGAACAGATATACTTGTTTGTTTTTTTTTTTTTTTGATAATTGGTGAACACATATACTTGTTGAAGGGGAATGTCAAGTTGCTAAATTGGCTAGAGGCTGGGGATATTGCTCCTTGGATACTTAGATTTCTAGTTACAAAATCTAGTGCTCTGGTTGCCAACCTGAATGCCCCATTTAGGTAGATTCGTAGATCAGGCAATAGATTAGCTGACCTCCTAGCTAAATCAGGAGTTACAAGTGCAAATATTGTATGGGGAACACCTAGGCCAGGATGGGGATTGTGAAATCTTTCTATTTGCTAAATCTTGTTTTTCCCTTTTTTTTGATAAATTGCTAAATCTTGTTTTTCTTTCAGTAACAAAATTTCTTTTACTGTTACTATAGAAAAACTTATTTCTACATTCTTCTCTATTCACAGTAATATCTTCCATTAAAGAATGGGATGCCAAAACTTTGTTGAGTACTTGAAGCTATGCACCTTTTTCCCATTCCCTTGTGCTTCTAGCACAGAAAACTTGTACCAAGTCAAAAAACATTAATGTTTTTTTGGGTCTTAGTTTCACTTTCACATGGCCAACTCATCTCAGTCAACTTGGATATACTTGTTTCTAGTTATATAAATAATTGAATACTCATATAATAATCTCACAAAATTATTATACATAGTTGTAATCTTGTAGATGTTGTGTTCAGGATCCAACTTTGCCATGTCTGATTATTTATTCATGTCAAAGCTGTATCTTTTGCATTTAGACAAACGTAAAAGTAGTAAATCACAAGAGAGGAAAAATGAAAAGAAAGAAAGGAATCATAAACAAATTAGTGGAGAAAAAAAGTTTATAACCTTTACTTGAGGTTTCCTTGGAAGGAGGAATTTCAGCTTGTCCACTTGAGGTTGTGACACTACCATTCTTATCAGGAGGAGTAGGTGGTACATTATCATCTTCACTTGGTTCTGCTGGGGTCTCATTCTCTTCTGCAATTGATGTTTGTGCCTGCACTTTATCCTCTACAATAGTTTCATCAGCTTGAGTCTCTACAACTCCGCTGGCCACATTTTCTACAGAAGAGATCTGACCAGCAGTCACTTCTCCAGCTGTGTCTGATTTATTATCTTCTTTCTCACTATCTGCCACAGAGGCCTCTTCTGATAGCAAACTTGCTTCAGTAGATGAAGTTTCAGGAGTTTGCTCTTCCCTTATGGTTTCATCTGCAGTATCAGCAACCTGTGACAAATTAGAGGACATGTTCTCTGTGTCTACAGTTGTGGCAGCTGCTTCCACTTCCTCCTCTAAAGTAGTTTTCTCTTCAACTGCTTGATCCACTATATCCTCTTTTTCATCTCCTTCTTCTGAAGAAGTTTTGTCCTCTTCAATCACTTTATTCTCTACAGAAGGAACATCAACCTGGTCCCCATCATTGCTTGTTGGCCTGTCCTGCACTTCAGGAACGTCAGACTTATCTTCAGCTTCGTAGACCCTCTTTTCTGTCCCTTCCAAAGTATCTGGTACTACTGAAGTATTAACTGATTGTTGAACTTTCTCTCTCTCATCCAAAAATGCAGCAATGTCCTTGTTTTTACGGAAAGCCAAAACAAAGGGGTTGGTTGCAGTATGCACAACCCCCTGGCTGAGTTTTGAGTTCAACTCATCAGCACCCTCTTCTTTCTTCATTGTCAAGGTGACCTGTCCTTTTGTAATACGTAATACTCGGACACTAACTTCTTGACCTACCTGCAGTGAAGAGCCACCCATAATGTTTCCAAACCCTTCATCAGCTTCCTCTGCTGTGGGAAGGAATCCTTCCTCCCCTTCAGGAAGAGATATAAAAGCACCTGCTCTGGTTAAGTTCTTTACGGTTCCTTCCAGGTCTTGCCCCTTGACAAACTTTGAGGTCTTTTGCACCCCATCACGCTTGGACTTTGTAGCGCTCCTTCTTGGAGGTTTTTGCTTATCACCACCTGCAGGAACATCTTTCCATTGCTGAAGCTTATCGATGTCATCACTGTCTCTCATAGTTAGAGAAATCCGTCCAGTTTCGATATTCGCTTCCACTAATCTCACCTTCACCTCTTGTCCAACAGAGACAAACTTTGCTACATCTTTAACAAAGGAATCACTCAACCTAGAAACATGTACCAGGCCATCTGTAAATGCTCCAAAATCAACAAAAGCACCAAATGGCTGGATTGACCGTACTTTCCCTGTAAAAGTCGCACCAGGGACCAGATCCTCATTTTTCACGGGTGGCATCTCACTCTTCCTGGATGATCTTGTTCTTTTTGATTGAGCATCTGGTGTAGCAGTTGTGGTTGGTGAAGGTGCTTCACTAGCTTCAACGGTACTGGATGGAACATCAGATGTTCCATCAGCATCTTCCGCTGCAATGGAAGAATCTGGCTCCTCTATAGCTACTTCAGTCCCTGCAGCTGCTAAGATGTGGCATCTTGATCCATGTGGTGCAGAAAAACCATGTCTGAATTTTGGAAATAAGCTTACTTGTCTTGACAGAGGTAAGAAAAGCTTATGTGAGAATGATGTTTGTTCTGAGGATTTTCTCAAGAAATTGAATCTTGTTATACGATTATTTTTCCTTGAGATAAAGGGAGTTGCAGGAATAAGTGCAACACTGCTAATTGAACAAGGAATTACAAATGTCATGTTGGCTGCAGTTGCACCAGCTGAGTTCTAGTATGCAACTACAATAAGTTCATTTGATTTCTTAACCTGCATAGAACATGGAGAGATGAGTCAACAAAAGTGGTGTAAGCCTCCCTTGACATTAAAAGTATAGGTGTTGTTTGTTGATAGCCATTGCTTTGAAAAAAAAAATTAACAAAAAAAGAAAGTGTCCTATTTCAGAGCAACTCTGATATATGATCACATTAACAACACAAGGTTTAGAACCAATGACAAGATACACCAGGCTATCAACAGACACTATATTTTACTCCACAATTTGGCTCCATTTCCATCAAACTATTTTTTTATCAGCATCAAACTCACAAGCTTGCATTGAGGAAAAGCTAATTCTAGTGGCATTATATTGCTTTTTTATGTAGTTCCATGTATTTAAAGCACTTTTTATTAACATGGGGCATTGATTCAACAGTTAACTAATGTTGATATATGTGAACAAGCATATAGGAAGAGAATAAAAGAACATGCCACAAACATATGGAAAGTGAATAAAAATAAAGAAAATGTACCTACTTAATACTCTTACTAAGTCACTGACTTAGATTCACTCTTGCAACCTTCTTCCACTCATTTATTCAGTATTCTCAATAGGTTGATTGATCAGAAAAGGAAAGAGAACTTCTTTGATATGATAAGATAGCAGTGTCCTCTAGAGTACAAAGCAAGAATACATCCCACGATAAACACTTAATAGCATCTTTTATCATCATATCACTTTTGAGGATCATGTCAAAATGATTGTATTAATAACTTAACCAATAGGGTTCCAAGAGATTTGCATTCTAACAAGGCACAACTTCTTCTTGTGACTTGTGAAAGGGCATGGAAGTGTGTGAGATAAATAGGAGATCAAATTAACTACACTTTAATTTTTTTAATTGCCACAAGATAGAAAAGTGATTAGGCATTGTTTTATTTATTCTCAAAAAAATTGAAATATGTCCATGTGAACTGGGAAAGGATGCATTTTGGGTCAAAATGGAGGAATTGGATGAAAGTTTGCATTACAACTCCTAGTGTTTCAATCTTAATCAATGGATCAGCAAAAGAACAATTTAAACTCTCAAGAGGGTTAAGACAAGGTGACCCTTTATCGCCTTTACTGTTCCTCTTGGTAATGGAAGGCTTGAGCCGGATGGTGGAAAGAGTGTCATCTTCAGGCTGTCTAGAAGGCTTTGAAGTCAGCAACAATGGACTGAAGGTGCCTCTTCTGCAATTCGCAGATGACACTCTACTCCTTTGTGATGCCAAGGCGGATCAGGTTAGTATTCTGAAGCACTTATTATTCTGGTTTGAGGTGGTGTCGGGGTTGAAGGTCAACCTTTCCAAAAGCAAAATGATGGCAGTAGGTGAGGTGCCAAATATTCAGGAACTGGCTGATGTGTTAGGATGTAAAGTGGTAAGACTTCCTTCTAAATATCTGGGACTCCCTCTGGGGGCTAAGTGCATCTCCAAATCTCTGTGGGATCCAGCCCTTGAAAGATCAGATTCGAAACTGGCTTCATGGAAGGCTTGTTACCTGTCAAAACTCAAAAGGAGGTAAGATGACCTTAATCAAAAGTGTCTTGGCTAGCCTACCTGCCTATTTCTTATCCAACCAGTGCCCTCGAGTGTGGCTGACAAAATCAAGGAAAAAATGAGGAACTTCCTTTGGGCTGGCTGGAATGATTCAAAAAAGTACCACCTTGTCAATTGGGAGCAGGTGTGCAAACCTTTGAGACAAGGAGGCCTAGGAATAAGGAAGGTTAAACTGTTCAATGCTGCTTTGTTGGGAAGATGGTTCTGGAGATTTTCTGCCGAACCAGATAGTTTGTGGAGAAAGGTTATTGAGGAAAAATATGGTTTGAGAAGCAATTGGTGGGATGCTTTGGATCCTAACCAGTCTTACAGATGTGCAATGTGGAAGGGTATCTGCAAAGCTTATGATCAGTTTTCTAAAGGCCTAAAATTCAAGTTTTTGTTGAACCCTTGGTGTGAGGATAATTCTCTAAAAGGTGATTTCTCGGCTCTATTTTCACTGGCTGCAGATAAATCAGCATTAATAACTGACTCTTATGTGGTGGAAAATAATGTGGTCACTTGGTCACCAGCCTTTAGGAGAGACTTCAACAACTGGGAGTTGGATATGGTAGCACATTTGCTCGAAGTCCTTCAAAATCAGCAGCTGAATCTGCAAACCCAAGATACAAGATGCTGGAAGTGGACAACGTCTGGGAAATTCTCTGTTAAATCCTTCTATGTGGGACTTGCAGGAGAAGCAAGGGATGTGTTTCCCAGTAAATCCATTTGGAGAATAGTGGCCCCTTCTAAAGTAAAATTTTTCCTCTGGGTAGCTGTGTTGGACAAATGTTTGACAAAGACCATGCTAGTGAAGAAGGGCTTCAATGCCCCTGATCTGTTGTGTGTTTTCTGTAACAGAGAGCTGGAGACATCCAGTCACTTGTTCTTGCACTGCAATTCCAGTGCTTCATAGGGGTGGCAACGAGCCGAGCTTTTCACAAGCTGCTCGAGCTCAGCTCGTGAAAAGCTCAGCTCGGCTTCAGCCGAGCTCGAGCCCAATTCAGTGGCTCGACTATTAAACGAGCCRAGCTYGAGCCTACTAGAGCTCGGCTCGTGGGGCTCGCGAGCGGGCTCGAATATATATATATATATATAAAGTAAAAATATTATAATTATTAATTATTATAATTCTTAATTTTTTAAATATAAAATAAATATATATATATATAATTTTTATTTTTATAAAATAACTTTTCTAAATATTTTTATAATAAAATATTTATAAAATATATTTTTATAAAATATAAAACAAGTCGAGCCGAGCCGAGCTCAAGCTTATGAACTCTTGACTCGAGCTGAGCTCGAGCTCAAGGTTCTGGCTCGAACCGAGCTCAAGCCTTGTAGAATAGTCTCAAGCCGAGCTCAAGCCTGGTACTATCCGGCTCGGCTCGGCTCGAATCCACCCCTAGTGCTTCAATATGGAACTATTTCCTTGCTACTCAAAATCTTAGTTGGTGTGCTCCGGGGTCAGTGAAGGACCTACTAAAAGGATGGCAGGTCTAGGGTATGTCAAGGAAAGGGAAGCTGTGTTGGTCATCTATCCTGGCTGCAATCTTATGGACCATCTGGCTGGAAAGAAATAGCAGAATTTTTTAGCAGAAACTAGGTTCAGAAGCAGTGGTGATTAATGCTGCAGTAGGGTTCTTAATGTATTTAGAAATGATACTTTTTCTTCTTCCTTTTTGAGGGTGGATTTTTTTGGGGGTCCATAGTGGGTAGTCTTGTACAGTTTCTCGTTGTACAAAGGACCTTGATCAGGTTTTATTTCAATATACTATACCTTGCCTTTTTCAAAAAAGAAAATTGAAATATGTCATAGGCCTTGGTAGAAAATAAATTCTATTCAATAATTATGCATTTATCTGAGTGAAATAGAATAAAAGTAAAATAAAAAGAATAAGAAAACATGGGAAGAAAAGTGTATATCGGCAAATCTTAGTGCCCCATTCTGGTCCTTAGCTACAGCCTGACCATGAAAGGACAAGGGAAGTCACATGCTTCAAGCACAAAGTCATAAGAGTGCAGATAAAAAAAAGCAATTATAGTAAAAACTCCTGGTGATAAGTTACAATCGGCCAAGCAAGGGTTTAAACTTGCCAACCAAGCAGATCTTAAGAACTTGGAGATAGAAAGGGACTCAAATATAGTGATATCTTGGACCAATTCAAGCGGTAATGTTCCTTGGGTCTATAGACATCTGTTAAGGGAGATAGTAAGCATAGCAAGGAAACTTAATGCCTTGTTCACATGGATCAGGAGAACTGCAAATGGAATGGCTGATTCTCTGGCCAAACAGGGAGTTCAAAGGCAACAGCTTTTTTGGGCTTTATCGTAACAATTTCTGGTGCAATGTCTGCTTTATAATTGCTGTAATTCTCTTAATTGAATAAAATTCTCATTTTGCTGATAAAGAAAAAAGGTGCAATCAACCAGACACATATGGCCCTAATTTTGACAGTTCTAGACTTTCACAGTTCCTTAAAACAGAACTTAACCCCTTTTTCCCATTTTATTTCATCCTTGTTTTTGCTTCTTCAGGCCAGACTTTTTCTACAGTAACCTGTTGTGACAATGTCAGCACTTCATACCCTATATTAAACTTAGCAGGGAGATTCTATTTTTCCTTAAATCCTTATAAAACTTTACCTTCAATTCCAGATATCAATTATTTTCTACATGTAGACCATCAATACTGTCCTAAGAGACTAGAATTCAAAGAAAAATTTTGAGTTGGTTAATGGTGACTTGAACTGTTCAAATATGTTTTAATAGTACATTTAATGGTCCTGCTTTCAGGACAACTAGTTCAACCAACTGATGTAATCTGGATTCTAATAATTGCTACAAGGAAAGAGAAATTCCAGTATTAAGGTTTCCCTTTGAAAATTTTTCAGGATAGCAATTAGGAATTATATCACAAATACAAATATATATACACGAGTAAACCACAAGCAAATGCTTTCAACAACAAATACAAGATTAACTAAGACATAGACGAAAGAGGGAAGGATGTTTGCTTGTCCAGTAGTACTAGTACAGACCTATAAACATACCTATGTAGGTGCATACTTATACATGTATATACACATTTTTAGTTAAGACCACATTCATGCATGCAGAACTTGCGTTCTTCTACACAGACTGTACCTTGTTTTCTAGTTAGCAAAATGAGAGGGTGGCATGAGGAAATTAAATGCAATTCATCAAAGCTGTAGTGACAAACTAACACAAACGCATAAAGAGCCATAGATAATAGTTAACACTGGTGGAATATCACATAATCATTGCGCCCACACAAGATAATGGATAAAAACGCAAATAAATCAGAGAATTTCACAAATTTCGGACAAGCCCTTGACCGTAAACCATAATAGAATAAAACCCTTCAACGCCATTGATTAATATAACGACTCAAAACCCTAAAAAATTAAAATAGAAACTCAATATGAAAGAATAGAAAAAATAGCAGACTTACCTTCAAAAGATAACGTCGCCTGAGGATTGAAGACGTTGGTTCGGGCTAAAGTCTCTGAAGATGAGAGGAAAGAAGCATCTCAGAGAAATAAGGGGGGAAATCAACAAGAGTTGAGTGAGGTGAGTATAGTATCTAGTTAAGAGAGTGAAGCGAAGGAGCGGCTCTGGCCCTCTGGACGCTTTGGAAGATAAGAAGGGAAGGGACAAGGGAGAGGTAAGAAAGGCGCGAGACGAACTTGTGGCAGTTATTATCCACTTATCCATACTCTTTCTCCTGAATTACTTTCTTACCCCTTTCATCCTTAACGTTCACAGGATCGTCGCTCGTGATGGCGTTGTCTCTGCAGGGACCCACTTAGAACCGACGGCGAGGACCAGGTAGTTGATGGAACTTATATCACATCCATACTAGGCTATCGTGTATGGAATCGCGTGTCATGCTTATGAGGTTCCTGGTAAACCGGTTTGATAGGTGAGCTATACGTGGCTCGTTCTCCTCCCTGTCGATTCTGGACCAAGGCCCTGTTTGAGGACATTTAATCGAAGTACTTCTTCTTTTAATAAGTACTTCTTTTAAGACATGGGACCACACATTAGGTGGTTTTTAAGTATTTATGGGTGTTTGGTAAAAAAGTAGGGAAGAAATAATTTTTTTAAATAAGTATTTCTTTGAAAAAGTGACTTTAAGTTGGTTTTTTTTAGTACTCCAAAAAAATGGGACAAACTAGTCCCTGATAATTTTTTATAATGTCTAAAATATCCCTGCAAGGGTTATACCTCCTCCTTTTCCATTCATTCGAACCTCAAACCTAGGTAGCGGCGCACCAATTGTAGCCTTGCAGGTCCATCGATGACAATCGACAGGCCTGTCGTTTGGCCTTTCTCTTCTATGTTTTGAAGTTTTTTTCTCATTCTAATCGTTTTTTTTTCTAACTTGAACTCCCAGTTCTTTGTAGATCTACACTTGTGAACTCTCCTGTTCGAACGACAACATATTCACCATCCAGCCACCACCGGTGACAAGAGGTTAGTAGATCTACACTTGTGAACTCCCTGTTCTTTGTAGATTTACATGTGGAATCTGTAGTTTCTTCCTGTTTTTTTTTTCATTTGTAAGGCCAACAGAAAATGGGTATTTATTATTTGTATAAGCTGACTGTTTGACGAACTCAACAGAGATCGACCTCTATTTTTTTTCCTGTTTTTTTTTTCATTCGTGAGGCCAACAGCAAATGGGTATTTATTTATTTGTATAAGCTTGACTGGTTGAAGAACCAATTGCTCATTTGCTCTAAAAAAATTAGGTTAGGTGTAGCTATTATTGACGCCTATTCAGTTCAGCTGTCGTAACAAAATCCTCATGGCTTGTTAGTGGATTCTCGTTTCTTGGTACTTGTGTGAAGTGGGTGTCTAGCTGTCTGGGTGTATGTAGGGAGAGCATTATTGGTTCAAGTGTCTTGAAGGGTTTAGAGGGGATGCCCATATCTTGGACTCTTTGAGCTGGGGGAGTCTAATCAGTTACAATTTTTTCTTTCTTGCTCAGTTGCTCTCTTTATTCTTTTCATGTTTTCCTTTTTTATTGTTCTTGGTATCTATATACGTTGTTTTATGTCATGGCATGTGGATATTTTTTCCCTTTTTTCTCCCTTTCTCTTCTCCTTTCTTCATCTTTTTCTGTATATGAATAGTTTGTCATTAGTTATGATTGGTTCTTCTTCTTCAACACAAATTTCATATATAGCTCAGTAGCAACTACACAAATTTCCTAACCACAAAGCTAGAAAGCCTATAATATATGTGCATTGATCAAAAAAATATATGTATATCATGTGAAACCATGCCAACAATTTGATAATCTTAAAGAAAATAATTTATGAAGTGGGGTCCACGTGGGCTCTCAATTAAAATGTATAGTATAACATGTGAAAAGCATTGTATATATGCATGAGTGAAGTGAGGCTAAAATTGTCATTTGTGTCAATATGAACACTTATAGGGAAAGGTAACTTACCAAACATTACCACCCCAATAAGTGCTTAAAAACATAATAAGTGATTTGAAAAGTGGGTTACCAGACATCTTTAAGGGTTGTTAAAAGAAGTACTTCTTTTAACAAGGACGTAATCATAAAACAGGGCCCAAGTCCCAATGACAAGTAAGCCTTGCCATGAAATCACCAACCAAAAAATGATCAGCTAAGAAAATTAAATATTCTCTTTTTCATCCATTTTTTGTTACATTAGGCTGTGTTTGGTTTGAAAAAAAGAAAGACATAGAAACTTGTACAAGTGTTCTAAGCATTCGGCTCGCAATCGGATTGAATGTTAGCCCAAAAGGAATCAAGCCATATGACAATAATAGTAGTAAAAAAATGCTGCCACATTAGTGTTATCTAGGCATTCATGTTTATTGCACATGAAACTATTGTTTGGTTCCACCGTTTATCAAATAAACACCGAAAAGCTGAAATGCTTTGATTTTTGTGCATGTAGTATTTGGATAAATGTCAAATTCTCATTTTCCCAATGCTCCAACATTTTCTTGTAATGAAATGCTTATGTGGCATACTTTTATGGGGTGTTAATCTGAGGTGGAAAGTAAAAAAAAAAAATGTTTAGAGTAATGCCCAACCAAACAACAAAAGCAAGAACCGTTTAAAGCAAAGTTGTGTAAATAAACATTTAAAACAATAAATGGCCCACTACAAACACCTGCAGAACCAAACATATACAAAATCGATGATTACATGTTCATCACCAGGGGTGTTTAAAAGAATAGTCTTTGTCCTTTGACCATCACTTGCAAATAATACTTAAGAACATTTTCTCAACTTTCTGTTTCTCTCTTATTTTTATCAAACCAAATATAGTTATAAAGGTTCATGTTTGGCATCAATGCTGATTCTTCTTTATCAATTTTCCAAAAAAAAATTGGTGATTTTTCAAAAATTGGTAAAATTTGTTGTTTGGTATAATTTCTACCACGTGAGCTGATTTTTGAGAAATCAGCTTTGAATTTGTTTTGCATTGATTTTCAAATGGCCAATTATTTTTGCAAAATTACTATTCAATATTATGTTGATGCCCATGTCATCCTCAAAAAAAAATCGAAATCAACTGGAAATTGGAAAATCATAAAAAAATGATGATCCCTGAAAAAGTGTCAATTTCAACAATCGATTTCTCAAAAATCACTAAAACCAACCAACCAAACAAACAAAAATTTTAGCACCAGTTCCTTTATGGCTGATGCGGCTCTGGCATGGCAGTGATTTTTGAGAAATTGACACTGAAGCCAAACATCCCCAAGGTCCCAAATTGAATATCTATCTTATCATTTCCTTGCAAAACTTGATTAGTTGTAGGGGGATGTTGTAGTGAAACCTAACCAACCAAACTCCACCTTCAACCTGAGATTCTACATGTTGCATATCATAATTTACATAATTAAACATCACGTTTTATTAATATTTTACAAAGTCGAGATGTTTAATGACTTTCCTTCAACTCTTTCTTTCTCTTATTTTCTATCAAACCATAGACAGCCTTACTATATACTGACCCAATCAAAATTCCTTTAGGGCTGGGCTTGGGCCTAAATAACCCCTTAAAATTTCTGGATTAAGTTGGATCCCCACCTTGTAGCTTTATCCCGCCCAGCCTATATTAAACCTATTAGTCAGGTCTGTGCGACTGTGCCCAGTCTCTCTTTGGTTTTGTGTGTTCTGACTTGTGAAGCATTTTTAATTTTGTGCCACGTTGGATTTGGCATCTTTATTAACCTCGTAAAGCCTTAAAGGTAATTAGACTTATAAGTCTCATTATAGTCTTAATTAATTTGTTCAGTCCACGCATGATCTCATCTATTAGTGTATTAATAATAAGGGTAAAATACAAAAACCTCTCCTGAAGTTTCTTACAATCATAAAAATTTTCCCTATAGTTTTATTTTAGCAAAAACTTCCCCTGGATTTTTAAAGAATTCAACAAAAATCTTACCCTGAAGTGTCATTCAATTAATTTATAAAGTACCATATTTGCCCTCAATCTCCTTCACCGCGCCATGCCTGTCTTGTATCTCCAACACTGTCTCAAGAACCTTCCCCTCCCGTGCTCCTGCACCGCCCTCTGCAGTAGCTCCTCCCCTCCCGTTCCTGCCCCACTTGATATAATCTTCTCTATCACCTCTTCCTCTAGGTACTCCCCTGTTACCATGAAATACCACGACCCACCGTCTCTTTATACTCCACCATCATCTGCTGCCTCAACTCCTAGAAGTCCATCAGCTCCTTTAGCTTCTTCTGCAGCCCGATGGTGACCGAAGTTCTTGTGCGGTCCACCGGCGTCCCTTCTCTGTATCCAGAGAGCCTCCTATTGGCAGCATTGGCACAGTCCATATCCTCGAGTTGAGACTTTATGCTTCTCACCTTTTAAGCACGGTGACGATATCGACATTGGTCTATGTGTGCAAGGATTTCAGGGCCTCCGGCTTGTGGAGGCACTTGCTCTCTTCGTTGGCTTGTTGTAGTCAGCCAAGGATGTCTCTGGTGAAACTAATCTCTTTCACCATCTCGGCCTCCTATGGTTTATTTGATTTTGCGTCGCCGTCACTACCATCTCCGGGTCGACGTTGCTAGCTTCCAGATCTTTCATGGCTTCTTTCTTCAAATCCACATAGCTGATGAAGGGTTTTGTTATCAAACCGTTCATCTTGCTCTGTTTTCTCTATCTCAGTTGAAACTTGGAACCACAGGACTTTGGAAGAGAGAACGCTTCAGCTACAAGAGTAGATTATGGCTATATGAGATGTTTTTTCGATTTAAAGGACCCAATTTTGGAAATAATTTCCTTCATAGAAGTGAAATCTATATACAAATGACTTATAGTGCATTTATACAAAAAAATGATTTGGAAACCTATATATGGAAAATTCAGGGGCTGAAATATATACAACACACTGTGTGCTTTATGATTTGGAAACCTGTGTACAAAAAACTCATGAGAATGAGCCCTCATTCCCTTTACCTTCCTTGACTGGTAATGGTGGATGGTTGGCTATAGGAACCTCATACGGATGATCAATATCATCCTGTTCCCCACCATAAGTATCTTGCATCACCTTGGAGCTGTCAATGCCAGGCAACCAGGCCAATGAATGGTGAACATTAATTAATTATATGCTGAAAACAACATTCCATTAGCACAAACAGCTGCTG